TAATATGATAGCTACATGCTTCTAGAAAATGGCAGAGAGGTAGGGTAGTGACCTTTGTTTGCTGATGATGTATTTTACTATTTTTTAGGGAGTACCGAAGCAATTTTCACTTGAAAAAAAAAATGTTGCAGCATTCTGGAGTTGCCTTCTCTTCCTTTTTGTTCTTTAAAAGAATCATTCACTAATTGAAAGAATACATGTTGAAAAGGTCAAGATCAACAGGATGTTGGTTAAGTGGTAAGAGAGTTTGCTCCTTTCTTGACTGCTCGGGTTGGAATTAGTTGGGAGGCTGTGAGAAATTAATTTTCTATGAATTCGTTATATGTAGCGAAGATAAATCTAGGTGGACCAACCCAAGGAGGGAAGTACTGGATAAGGACCATAAATCCCTTAACGCTCAACAAAAGAACAAGGGAGGTCAAGAGAAACGTGCTGAAAAAGTAGTTAAATCAATTTTAGGTTTTCAAGCCACTAATCTCTTTATATTTGGTGCACTCCTAACTTCCAAGAATCTTGGATGAAGTTCATTAACTGATTATTACCTGAGTGATCTATATCAGTGTTTCTTTCTTTGGTTAAAATTTCCTGAATGACTCATTTCTTCCTTCTTTTTGGTCAAAATTTTCATGGTTGATTTCCTTAATGCTGCAAGAAAAAGATCTACAAGGAAAAGGCTTCTAAGTTCGTCCAGTTCTGCACCTGCACACGGAGAGATGTTAATTAATGCCCTGGAAATCTTACTGCAGGCACAAGAAGACATCAACATGGAGATTAGAATTTAGAACAATTGCTTATTCTCAAATTCTTTATTTTCTGGTAGCTTGATTAACTTTATTTTAATTGCCCAATTTGGGCAGCTAATGTCTCTTGAATATTTTCTTTCCTGTTTCTTCCATTGGTGTAGCAAAAAAAATCAGAAATTGCTTTGACGGTTTGATTGTTAACCTTTGTTGAAAGTTGAGGATGGCCTAGTTTCCATAATGTCATTTCAGAGAATTCCATGTAAATTTGGTCAACATCTCACCACCCAATTTTAGCGTCAAAATGATTTAGCCATTGCATGAGAACCTGAAGTTGGCACTTGGCAAATGGTGTGCTGCTTTATGTAACCGAAACCTAAAGAGCGAAAAGAAAGAAAAGCCACTCTGAATTCCAGATGTTGAACCTCCAAAGATGTCAATTCAATACCATATGAAATATGAAGTAAAGGAGAAAAATGGGGAAAACAATTGAGACAAGATTGCCAGCCTCTACCTGTAAAGAACTTTGGCCTTCTCTATTTCCCCTTTCATCATCAACGAAAATTTATGAGTTTTGCAGATTAGTATGCTTCATAAGGACACATGTTATTTTTTTTTTATTAAGCGGCATGTTCCTGAGCTTTACCTAGTATATCCAGTAATGGTTTAGGTAGGCTTATCTATGTTGGACTTAGTGAATTTATAAAAAATTACCTTCTCCCAGTCTCCCAACAGATTCGAACCCAGACAAATAAAAAGGGAAGCACACTTTTTTTTGTCTCTTAAATCAACCATCCATTGGTCACCTTCATGTTTTATCCACGGGACCAAAAGTACTGCAAGTGTTTTACTGTCCTTACCAAAACAATTATTTTTGAGGTTCATCTTATATCCTGCAAGCGAAAATGACGACAGAAAAGAACGGCTCAAACTGTAAACACTAATTGATGGAATTAGAACCTTTTAAGGTAAGAACATGAACAAAATCGACAACCAAATTCGGGTAATAGGTCCATCATTGACTAAACATTCCTAAAGCATGATTGATACAAACTCAACTAACTTGGGTTAAGGGTGGTTGTCCTTGATTTGACCAGCATGCAACTTCCTTGTTTGTTATTTACATTTAGGAATTGCTATAGCTATCTGTCGGGGAAGGCCCCTTTGCTCTTTTTCTTGGTATTTCCCACTTATAGAGTTGCAATAAGAAAGGACAAAATGTAGTTTTGTCTAAATTTCAACAATTCCACAAATTTTCCCTTTTTGAAAGCAATGGCCGGTGCATGTCATCCTTTATTAGAGCCTATGACAAGACTCAGAAGCAAGTCTCTCAATGCGCTTGATCGATCGTTGGAAAGTTCGTTAAATTCACCTCGGACAAGGTTTGATTTAATCAGGACAAAAACAAATTCAACATTTCAAAGATGAAAAATAAAAAGAAATAAAAACGATAAAAACAGGAAGAGCAAGCACAAATCAAAAAAAGAATAAATAGGTAAAATTACTTAAAAAGGCATAAAAAATTTAATTGCTACCGCATTGCAGAAAAACAAGTTTCAACTTGCTTAAGTAGAAGTTGGAGGACAGATATGTGCCATGGACCAGGCAACCGTCAAATAAGGACTGTACCACATGAAGTATTGTCATATTAATTAAATCATTGCATCAACTGCTTGCAAATTAAAGTTTACAGAATGGTAACTTCATACAGTTGAGAAATTTATTCCACTTTGGGTTATAGAGCACTGGATCATTAGCCAAGGCAATGAAGGTCGTGTGCCAAGGGACTCTCTCGTTTCAGAAACAGGTTGAGAATAAGAGTTTTACATGAATTGGTTATTGTTTTGGTTATGGCCTATGGATACATAAAGGGAATTTTCCAAGAAAATTTGAAAATGCCAGCTACATTCCTGGGCAACGTTGATGATGAGATGACTAAATTATGGAAGTGGTGCGCAAGGATTGGCAAAACTGATGTTGAGAGTGGGATTTGAACCCACGCCCTTTCGGACCAGAACCTTAATCTGGCGCCTTAGACCAACTCGGCCATCTCAACAATGTTACTTTTTTGGCATTATTGAATATATAGTTCAATTTTGTTGTCTTAATGGTTTCCAAAACAGTTGGGAGCCTCAAGATCTGAAGCATCGTCTTCCTGACAAGTTGTCCAAGATTGAGTATTTTGAACACCTTCAAAATGCAAAGTTCTGCCTAATTCGTCTTAAATTATCATCATGGACCCTTAGTTTTATGAATATTTCTTTGTGGTCTCTTTCCCCAAAATACTAAGTTCTATGAATCTTTCTTTGTGGCTTTTTTTTTTTAAAATATAAAATGTAAAATGTATCGTACCTAACAGTTTAATATAAGTGGTTACATTTGATATAATTCTGACAAGCGATTATTGGCAGGATTAAAACCTAAAACCTTTCGGTTGAAGATGACAAGCCTTGACCAATTGAGGTTAATCACTTGATGATCAATCATGTTACATTTCAACTCATACACATTCTGAATGATTTTTATTGCACAGGAATGTGTTCCGGGAATCTTATCAGATCAAATAGAATTGCCTTTTCAGAATGCAATTGACTACACTCAGATAACAATAAAATGGCCAGCTACTCGGATAGGTCCCCCTACTTCTGGAGTACCTTGAATTGAATCTATACCTGGTTGCTTTGATTCACCATTGTGTTTGCCAGATATCAATAATTCAACTTTTCAAAAAAAAATTTTTTCCTTTTACTTCTGTTCATATGAAGTTATAGAGGGCATAACAGCCCGTGGTAGACAAGTGAACCGCTTATGGACTTATGCTCCGGAGTCAGAACCATGTTCAGCAATGCATGGACTCCTGCGGGAAATCCAGAGGAAAGTCAGGGTATTCCACCAATCAGCTGAGGCTTCATAATGGGACTAAAGTGAAAAGAAATTCAGTAGAATTTCATAATTGGAAACAACCTATGCCTTTTGTTGAGGATTTTATAGGTTTGGTAATTGTATACTTGCTGGAACGTTGGTTAGTCAGCAGATTTGGAGGTCAGTGACTTGTAAGAGAAGGAATGATCAGAGGTATCGAAGATAAAGACTTTGAAACACATTCTGACACTGAAGTAAACAAAGCATGATAAATGATGAAAAATAAAAAGGAGGAGAAGCCGAGAAAGTGGAAAAGCATGTGAGAACGAGTAAAGGATTTAGAATTAAATATTAATGTCTGACCTTATCTTTTATAATGAGTTGGTATTGACTATTCAATTTACTTATATTGATATTATTAATTGACTTAGCTAATATTAATTAAGTATTGGACCAGTTGAAGCAGTCGCGAATATAATGATCAACGGATGTTTAACTTGTCAGTGAAGACATTGCCTAGATGACCAGACTAGAGTATAACACCTTTGCCTTGAAAAATATGTATCTTTCTAGTGCAAATTGCTCCAGAGTCCATATCCTTCACTTTACTAGTAAATAGTTAATATATGTTTTCTAATAAATTCCTGATTTCCTCTTTTTTAAGTAAAAATGGTTAGAATTATATGCAATATACTCTCAAAAAGCTAGTGCTTTTCTCACTTGTAGACATTTTATTGGAAGAGAAACATCTTTGATTGGATTGTCAGCAAGAACAAATGGAATATGGATCTAGCAGCACTTAGTATAAAACACTTTTGCTTCTGCTTGATGCTCCAATGTTATACTTTGTTCCTTAACATTTTTTATTGAATGCTTGAAACTTTGCTATCATAAACTTTTGATTCTCATGAGTGAGGTTTTTGTAATGTGTCATGTAAAATCTCACTATGAAAGTTCAAAATTGGAATTAGTATTAATATTTTGATATTTATTAAAATAATTACTAACCGTTGTTGATATGATTTAATGTTTATGCAAAAAAGTAATTTTCATTTGTAAAAAATTGACAACAGCTTTCTATTATTGGCCTAACTTGAGCTCATGTTTTGTGAAGAGTCATTATATATTTTTTGTTAGGTGGAAAAATAGTTTTAGATTTTACTTAATATATAATTTTTTATTGATCCACATATATATTTATTTATGTTAAACTTAATGAATTAATAAAAAAATTATCTTCTTACACTTTTTAAATGGATTCAAATTTAGACAAAAAAAAAAAAAAAAAACTTCACAGCAAATTTAAATCCAAACAATATAAAGAAAATCGTACTCTATTTATCACTTAAGCCCTGCATCATGTATTTAATACTACAAGAATCACAGATTGTCATGCATTATGTGAAGCGGTATCCACAGCTTATGATTAAAAAAAAAAATCCATTGTTTAGGAATTGTTGTAGAACTTAAAAACGAAGAAGAGGAGGAATCTGGCCGTCTTATTCTTCCTATTCAAAGATGAGAAATTTCCCTCCAATGACAGTTTATAGTTAAAACTATGAGACATGAGAACAACAAAATTGCATCAAAACCCACGGCACTTTCCAAACGACCTTCCACAACAAATCATTGGAATTACAGAAGCATTAGCCAAGAACAATTCGAACCCAAATCAACCCAGTTGGTCTTACATCATAAGAAACCATCTTTCTCAAGGAAATCCCAAACAAGTGCTTTCTTTATACACCCAAATACGCCAAAACGGACTACACATTTTAGGCCTGGTTCCTTTGATTTTCAAGGCATGTGCTTCTGCTTCAACCCAAACTTATGGGAAATCTTTGCATGCCGAATCAATCAAAGCTGGGGTAGCCATTGATTTACACACTGCCTCGTCATTGCTGAATATGTATTCGAAATGCGGCAACCTGGCTGATTCCCGGAAGGTGTTTGATGAGATGCCTGAACGAAATGTGGTGACATGGAATGCGATGATTGCTGGGTATTTGAAAAACGGGGATAGGGATTCTGCATTGGATTTGTTTGAGAAGATGTCAATTAGAAGAAATTCAGTGACTTGGATTGTGATGATTGATGGGTTTGCAAAGAGTAGAGATACTTTAAAAGCAAGGCATTTTTTTGATAAAGTTCCATTGGAGTTGGGAAATGTGGTGACTTGGACAGTGATGGTTGATGGGTATACTGCAAATGGTGAATTAGAGGCTGCAAGGGAACTCTTTGAGATGATGCCTGCAAGGAATTTCTTTGTTTGGTCATCCATGATTTCTGGGTATTGTAAGAGAGGTGATGTTAAGGAAGCAAGGTATATTTTTGATAGAATCCCTGTTAGGAATTTGGTGAATTGGAATTCATTAATTTCAGGTTATGCACAAAATGGGTTTTGTAAGGAAGCTTTGGAAATGTTTAGGAAAATGCAAAGTGAAGGTTTTGAACCTGATGAAGTTACTATCACAAGTGTTTTATCTGCTTGTGCACAATTAGGTGAATTAGATGTTGGAAAAGAAATCCATTATCTTATTAAGGGTAAGGGACTGACGGTTAATCAGTTTGTTTTGAATGCATTGTTGGATATGTATGCAAAGTGTGGAGATTTAGCCCATGCAAGATTGATCTTTGAAGGAATGGGTTATAGGACAAGCTCCTTCTGGAATTCTATGATCTTAGGTTTTGCTATTCATGGACAGAGCAAAGAGGCTCTTGAGTTTTTTAGAAGGATGGAAGAGTTGAATGAGATGCCAGATGACATTACTTTCCTTTCTCTTCTATCGGCTTGTGCCCATGGGGGATTTGTAGACGAAGGGTTAGATATCTTCTCCAAGATGGAGACCTACGGCTTGGTAGCAGGCATCAAACATTATGGCTGCTTGGTAGACCTACTGGGGCGCGCCGGAAGATTGAAAGAAGCTTTCGATTTAATCAAGAGAATGCCTATTAAGCCGAATGATGTAGTTTGGGGGGCTTTACTTGGAGCTTGCCGGATTCATTTGGATACAGACATGGTAGAAAAGGTGATGCAAGAGATTGGCAGAGTGGATCACGGCATGGATTCCGGAAATAGTTCACATTATGTGCTGCTGTCAAATATTTATGCAGCTTCAAACAGATGGGAAAAGGCTGAAAAAATGAGGATGGCCATGGTGAATGAGGGGTTTCAAAAGATTCCAGGCCTCAGTTGGCAAATTAGTTCCCACCAACTTTGATCCAATAAGCCACCAACCCTCTTGAACTATGATGGACCATGCAGCGATAATGCAAATTCCAAAATAGTAGAAAATAAATTTAAAACTTAAACTCAATTTATTTATATATAATAATGATTTGAAATTCGAATTTTATTTTTTTAACTTATTTTATTATTTTTAGATTATGGTTTTTTAAGTACAAAACAGAAGTTCAATCATTCGTTTAGTTCGCCTCAATAGAAATAGATTTGATTTTGAGCAACTGATCTCGTGTTAACGATATTGGACCTAAATATTACTGTTCTCTTTTGTATAAAAAAAAAACTGTTATCGTCCTTTGTGAAAAAAATTGTTTTCTTCCCTTACCTTTCTTTTACCACCTGGGCCTCAGCTTGATTTCTGCATCTTGTTCAGACCCAAATGCTTAGGTCCAAAATTTTATTTGGGTTGTTTTTTAAGCAACGCCTTGAGAGAAACTCGTCGTTTCGAAACTATCATCGTCCACTTCTGAAACTTGAGCTCAGCGAGATACTGCTCCAATCGACGGTTGAGTCTGGTGTTCACTGTTTCCGAAAAGCAAAGGAATGAGCAACAAACCTCGAGTCTTCTCTGCGCATCCCCACAACACTCCCTGCACTCGCACTCACCAGATCGGCGCTCTCATCCTCATAACCGCCACTTTCTTCTTCACTCGACTCTACGACCAAGCATTCCCTCCATCACCCTGCAATCTCAATCACGACGGTTCATCACAAAATATCAACCTACACGTCGCCCAAACCAACGGCGTCGGACATCGATTGTGGCCCGAACGAGGATACGGGTCTCACCTCTCTCTCAAGATCTACGTCTACGACGAGAACGAGATCGACGGCTTAAAACACCTTTTGTACGGAATAGATGGCACCGTTTCCACGAATGCTTGTCTTAAAGGCCAGTGGGGTTCTCAGGTAATTTTATTAGGTTAAATTTAATTGAATAATCTCTTTTTTTTGTGGAATAATTTCCTTAAAAATTAAATTTTAATTGTTAGTAAAAAAAATTGTAGGTTAAAATCCACAGGCTGTTATCGGGATCTCGTTTTCGGACAAGAAAGAAAGAGGAAGCTGATTTGTTCTTTGTTCCAGCTTATGTTAAATGTGTTCGGATGTTGGGAGGTCTTAATGACAAAGAAATTAATCAAACTTATGTCAAGGTAAAAACTTCCTTTTAATTGTTGGAAAAATATATTTTTTTTAAATTTAGTTTTAGTTCTTTATTGGTAATAAAATAGCTGTTGCTTTGTTTTAGGTTTTGAGCCAAATGCCATATTTCAGGCGGTCCGGAGGGCGTGACCACATATTTGTTTTCCCTAGGTATAACTGTTAGCCTGTTAGGAAAAATTAAAGTTTGTTTTGCTTTGTAAGGTTTAAATTTGATTAACTTTGATGCAAAGATTGTTTGCTTTTTATGCCATTGCAGTGGTGCAGGAGCTCACTTATTTAGATCTTGGGCCACCTATATAAATCGTTCTATAATTCTTACTCCTGAGGTACCGGCCTTTACAATAAAAAAAAAATTGTGATCTCTGTTTGGTATATGCATTTGATTTTGCTATGGAATGATTGGAATACGTTGGTTCATGGTTCACTTTGGTGCCTTAGTTTTCCGTTCTTTTACCTATTAATATGCCTTCAACTGTTCTTTTTTTCCCCATGTGCCTGAGTTCCTTAACATTGGTTGAATATATGGCCATCTTACGTCATTGGTGTATGGTGTAATCATCATTAGTATGGTTCCAATTAAAGAAGCTGAGCAAGTGCAAAGAATTTGACTGATTCTAGTGTTGGACAACCAACTCAAAAAATACAATCAAAATTTGTTTTCATTGTAGTTTGTGCTCCCATGATGGGTTTAGTTAGTAAATTTTCTTTAAAGACACTATTTATTGTCAGCTTCTACCTCTACGTTTTATTATATGCCTTGCACCTCAGGCAATATAAAGGTATAGTGCACCTGGCAAATTTGACTTTATTGAATCTAACAATGGTTAACTGGCTATACGATTTTCATGTAAGCTCTTTATCCAACAGGGGATTGCAGAGACTGAATTCCTGTATTCTTTGAGTTATTATCAGTGAAAAATCATAAGTTCTATAACAAAGACTCTTTTTTTTTTTTTGAATTGGTGTTAAATTACATGCTTGGGAGGAAACATTCACTTTTCCTGGGGACTAGAATTATCTTGGTGCCCAGTCTTAACTGCCCATATCCATAATGTTTATGTTTAAATTGCCACCATAGTTCAACATGTCGACCGGAAAATTGTGAAAGGTTACTACTTACTATTTTATCTAAGTGGAGAAATAAAGAACTACTAATACTTTAATTGTTTCTTAACCTTATAGGAGATGTGGAATTGATAAGCGTGTTGTGAGCAATTATTAAGGTATTCTTTCTAAGATAGTTTGGTAGAAAGATGCAAAGTGCTTGTTGGAAAAGGAAAAAGAAAATAATTTTTAATCATTTTAGGCGAAAACAGTGGGAGTAAAGAATATAGTAGACTTGGATATTTATCTTTAGGCCCACTGAAGTCAATCCTTTTCTTTTTTTGTCCAAGTTGGAATGATTAGAGAAGGGATAAGAAGAGGGTATGAGTAGAAGATTATAAATCTTACCAAATTGTCTGTAATTCCCTTCCTATCTTACAAATTGTATGATGTTAAAGCCATTTTTTTCTCCATTTAAAATTTTTCGTAGTTTCCTTTCTCTTCACATTTCAATTTTTCTTACCAAGCAATGCTTTGGAAATTGAAATTCTTGTATATATGTTGGCTTTCTTAACAAAAGAATGTTGATTTGTGTATTGTTCAGGGAGATCGTACTGATAAGAAAGACACAAGTGCCTTTAATACATGGAAAGATATCATCATTCCTGGAAATGTTGATGATGGGATGACGAAAACTGGGGCTACTATTTTCCATCCTTTGCTCCTATCAAAGAGAAAATATTTGGCTAACTATTTAGGCCGGGCCCAAAAAAAGGTTGGCCGTCTTAAGTTAATTGAGCTTGCAAAGCAATATGGAGATAAGGTATTTTTCCTTCTGTGACATTTTTATGCTTTGAATATGAAATTTTATCATCCCTTGGATTATCTACTGATTTAATTTTGGCTTCATATAGAACTTCAAAATAAAATGTGGAAGCATAGCATTACTTTATAGTCCTGAGTAGTCTCACTTTTAATAAATTGATCAATCCTTTTTCCAATTTCAAACTTTAGCCTGATTACTCAGGATTTATATGCGTCAATGCAACTAGTAAATTCAACCTTTAACTACTATTATTCTTTTTGGCCTCATTTTATTCCTCAGATGGATTAGTCTGCATACTTTATAATAATCCTATTAGATGATGTCATGTAATTTACTGATCTATTAAGCATCCTGGTGAATCAAGATATTTTACGGTTTTAATATTCCCAACACTGTTATTTATTACCTGTATCTACTATATAGGTAGAATATTGATGCCCATTCTTACCGAGGGTTTTGTGTGTGTGAGAGAAGCTAAGATCACTAAGAAGCTTCTCAACACTTTCTGCATCCGGTTGACTGATGTGAAGCATGAAATCTCTTTATCTTTATTAGCATGCTTTCTTTTACATGCTGAAGTAGTATGATTTTAATAGAATTGCTCATATATCTTGTGCTAAAAAATATGAGCATTAACACTATAAACAGTTGGAATGTCCAGAGTTACAGTTCAGTGGCCCTAACAAATTGGGAAGAGTGGAATATTTTCAGCACCTGGGCAATGCCAAATTCTGCCTCGCACCACGTGGAGAGTCATCTTGGACCCTTCGCTTTTATGAGTCATTCTTTGTGGTTTCTCCCTCTCTCTCTCTCTCTCTCTCTCTCTTCTCACCCCACATACATGCACACTTGCATTTTGAGGCCAATTGAAATAAAGTAAATGGTTTGTTTTTCTTGAACAGGAATGTGTTCCGGTCATTTTATCAGATCAAGTAGAATTACCTTTTCAGAATGTAATTGACTACACACAGATATCAATCAAATGGCCATCCACTCTAATAGGCCCGGAACTTCTGGAGTACCTAGCTTCAATACCAGGTTAAATAGGGCTTTTTGCTTCTAGTTCCACTTATTTTACTCTTAAGCAGCATCAAATTGACTCAACTTTGCATATTCTTTTCAGATGAGGTGATAGAGGGGATGATATCGCGTGGTAGGGAAGTAAGGTGCTTGTGGGTTTATGCTCCAGAATCAGAGCCATGTTCTGCTATGCAAGCAATAATGTGGGAGCTTCAGAGGAAAGTGAGGCAATTTCACCAGTCAGCTGAGACATTTTGGCTGCATAATGGATCCATTGTGAATAGGAATCTTGTTGAATTTTCAAACTGGAAACCTCCTATGCCCCTGCCTTGACTGTTGTGGCCTGTGGGAACCGCAAAAATCTGAGGCCTCCATTTCCTTTTCACAGTGCTCCTTTTCTCCACTTTTCGCACTGGCAGGCTGTCAAATTTTTGAATGACTTATTATTCACTAATTCTTTCAGGTTGTAGAGCATTTCGTTTTAGCTGTATTGTTGGCTTATTTGAAAGTAGTATAATTTTGAATGTTGTAAAAATGGCACGAAACTATTTTGTACTTTATAATATCTTAGAAACTAGTTTTTGTTACAAGCGGATGTACTCTAGATATATGATATATCGTTAGAATATTGAATTTTTCAGGCAAAAATGTCAAAAAAGTTTTTAAACAAAAATTCAATAATCATTTAAGTTTTTGATATTTTATTGTGATCAATTAAGTTCTTAATGTTATATTTCAACTGAATTGAATTTTTAATTGAATGAAATTTAATTACGTGACAAACTTGAATTAATCAATATTTGAATTATACTTAATTAAACTATTATAAGATCTTAGAATGAGAAAATAGAGAAAAAAAAAGAAAAAAAGTTTATTTTTATTTAATTTTCATTGATGTTAATTGCACTATATGATAATTTTTTATTTATTTTGTTGACGCATTTGCAATTTTATTTTAGTTGTTAAAAAACATCAACAGTGTTAAATTTTTTATTGGTTTAATTGAATGCAAATAATATTAAAAGGGTTGATTGATTATAATAAAAAAGAATTTGAATGAATTTTTTAATTATAATTGAGGAGTTTTTTATACCCTTTAGATAATTTTTATTTTAATAATTAATATTTAATTTCCAGTAATTTCAAATACAAATATATATCATTAAATCGTGATAACGTTATAATATAGCATGCATGCATGGTTTAACAAAGATATATATATTTTATGCATTTATTAGTTGATCCTCATGAAATATATATTTAATTTTTAATGACTCCTATAAGTGATGCATAATAATTTAATAAAAAGTTGATCACGTGTTAGAATAATTTAAATGAAAAATATTTATTAATTTGTTTATCAAATTGTATTATTTGATGCAAAATGTTGCCATTAATAAACCAAAATTCTGATCAAGTTGACTTTGAATCCGTTTGAAATCTACCGCATCTCTAGTGTGAGTCCGTTTATAATGAAAAAAGGTGCCAATAGCAACCTTTAAATCCAAATAGAATTACAGTGGGGTGCGGTGGGCATGAATTTTTCAGTGGAGGGAGAGGCTCCAGTTCACAGCCACCTTTGCTTTTTTTTTTTTTTTCCTCATTTTTATCCTTTATGTTCACACTTTTAACTTTTTTTTTTTATTTTAATTATTTTATTTAAAAATTATAAAATAATTTTGTTAATTTAATATAAAAATAAATTTTACTGCATAATAAATTAATTAATTAATAAATTTTATTTTTAAAAAATTTCAATTACTTATTAATTTAATAAATATTAAATAATTTAAAATTTTATTTATATGTAATTTTTAGTTAATATTCTTAATGATTTTTTTCTTATTACAATTCATCTTACAATCATCATTATTTTTATATTCAAATATATATTTAATAATTATTTTTAATCTTATTATTATAATAATTAATTTTATTTTTATCACTATTTTTAATTTTACTAAAATTAATATTATTATCGCACGTCCAAATTCTATTTTGTTTGAACTGTGAAGCATACTACAATTAAATAATGTATTTATAAGTGAAGGAATTGAAACGTTCAAAGGGAAAAACAGGACTTTATATTAAACAATAACTTAAGCGTGACTTTAGTAAACCCAGAAGGTGGCCCAATTAAAGTCCACCCGGCCCATTTTAAAAAGTCGGATGAGGGAAAAATAAACCTTGGCCATCTTTGTTTGAAATGTTTCCTCTTCGTCTCTCATAAAAATACAAATATTTTTGACTGCTAATAAAAAATATATATATGAGTTTCCCCGTCCTTATTTAGGGTTCCATTCTCCATCCCCAAACAAAAAAAGAATAAAATTGAAAGTATATATTCATCCGAAAAGAAAAGCCTCATAGCCTCGATCGAGTTGCTGGGATGGCGAGACGAAGAGACGAGGAAGATGATGACGTTGATGACGAAGAGTACGAAGATGAGGAGGAGCAGTTGATGGACGACGAGGATTACGACGAGGACGAAGACGTAGGGAGAGGCCGTGGCGGTTCAAGTACGAAGCGTCGGAGGTCTGATTTCATCGATGACGTGGCGGAGGAGGACGATGAGGAAGATGAAGACGATGACGATGAGGATTTTGGTGGTGGGAAGCGACATAACAAGGCTCCGCGTGTTGGCTCTCAGTTTTTTGATCTGGAAGCGCAGGTCGATAGCGATGAGGAAGAGGAAGAGGACGAGGGAGAAGACGGTAATTTCCTTTTCCTTCTACGGTTTTACTCATAGTTTGCTAATTTGGATTATTGGTATGGAAATTTGTAATGAAGTGGAAAAAAGTGATGATTAATGTGCTCGGATTGATGATGTTTTGGGATAAATAAAATTTAATTTTTTTTTAGAAATTAGTTTCAAAGCTTAAGCTGGTTCAGTGTAGTATTTTTGGAAGTTGCAATTATATGCCCTTTTAATAAAAACCTCTTTATCATGATTCTGCTGCTAGCATCTGCTTATTCTTTTACATATGAGGATTAAAAGTAGTTTCTTTTTCGTGTTTGTGTTTACTGAAAGATGCCATAGTTTGCATTCCAGTTGTGTAAATGGAATTTATATTCCATATGCAGTAGCTGTTGACAAATTCAGAATCATTTGTTGGGATTGTTGATTTAATGTTGGTAGTTCTTAAATATCACAAAGTGAAAATTGTTATTGGTGGCATATAATGATTTAACATTAGTTTCTGATCTTGTAGTGGTTCTGAATGTCACTAAAGGTTTACACTTTAGATTGATGTATTTGAACCTTATCTCTTTCTGAATTTCTTACGGGACCCATTTGTGTCTCACTATTGACATTTCTTGAAAGCCATATGTACATACTAAATTTTTTAAATAAGGGGATTCCATATAGTTGGCAGTATTTGATTCTGATGTGCATGCACTTATCAGACTGTTACTTTGGAAATTTTTATTCTTGGTGGCGGGATTGAACAGCAGGAGTAACATTGGTAGTTCCTATTGTTGTAATTATTTAATTCTTAACTAGATTCTATTTTCCAACATTTATTCTGGATTTGTCTGTGAAAATCTCCCATTCGTTGCATTGAATTCATAGTTCTTAGTTATTTGTATGACTATTATTTGCTGGACAAGTCAGAAGAAAAAAAGCATCTTTTCTAGATGTACACTTCTACATCCACTGTTTGTTGACAGTTCTGTTTCATTTGTATCTGTATTGGGATACTTAGCGCCTGAAGCACTGCAAGTTCTAGGAATTCCTCTTTTTTGTTTTAGAACTTGCCCAATCTGAAAATTTTCTACTTTTGTAATTATTAAAATCTCAATGAGCTTCTAGTTTTCCAGCTATTTTTCATTACAAATTTTTCTTTGAAGGATTCTTCCATTACATTGAAATCATATTTTTTTTATGCTGGCCATGGCAGAAAAAAATCATTCTTCACTGTTCTTGATTCACTTTTGTTCGACAGTCCTGTTGCATTTGTACCTCTGTTGGGATACTTTGCACCTGATGCTCTGCAAATCTAATAATTCCTCTTTGTTTTAAAATTTAAATTGCTCAATCTGAATTTTTCAGGCTAACTTTTTTTTCCTCTACTTTTAAGTTCAAATTACTCCTTTTTTAAGCTCCTTCGTTTTAGCATATTGTGCTTGAGAATCTTTTGTTTATCATATTTGTCAATTTTGCTTAAATCTGTCGTTTGTTAGAAGGTCAAGTAGTAGCAATAACTTGGATATAAATGATGTGTGGAAAACATGCATGTAAATCTCACAGCTCGTGTCCTTTGCTCTTTGCCTTTTCAATATTTTCCCAAAACAATATTGCTTTCAATTATCCCATACACCTTTCCCGGAGAAAGATAAAATGCAGCTTAGATTGGCTGAAGAGGCATTTCATATTCAACACATTATGTGACTGGTGAACCTTTATGGGATTGTCCTGTAGCATGCTACTTCACTGATAATGAGTGTGGAATGTTTTGATGGCATATCTAAGTATGATGATCTTTGTTGAATCTTCTATTCATGCTTCATTTTTTATCCTCAATTTACTGTATGTTGCTTGACAATTGCAAATGCAGACTTCATAGTTGAAAGTGGAGGTGATCTACCTGAGGAAGACGTTGGTAGAAGGATGCACCGTCGCCCATTACCACTCCGGGAGGATGAACAAGAAGATGTTGAAGCTCTTGAGAGAAGCATTCAGGCTAGGTATGCAAGATCAAGTCACACAGAGTATGATGAGGAGACAACTGATGTGGAACAGCAAGCACTTTTGCCATCAGTAAGAGATCCAAAGCTGTGGATGGTGAAATGTGCGGTATGATAATGATTTCCTCTGCAACTTAAGTTTTGGAATTTTGTTTTTAGGCAGAAATGGTTAATTGATTATTTGGACATTTGTCATGGAAGTTAATTAAGGTCATGTTTATGCATGCTAGATTGGTCGTGAACGAGAGACCGCAGTTTGCCTCATGCAGAAATACATTGATAAAGGATCTGAATTGCAAATCAGGTCTGTTATTGCCCTTGATCACCTCAAAAATTATATTTATATTGAAGCAGACAAGGAAGCCCATGTGAGGGAGGTTCGTGATAATTTCTTCTTTTGGTTTATTTTTTATGAGTGGCTTAGCTTTAGATGTCTACGTATATTTCTGTTAGCCAATTTTGATCTGCTTCAGGCTGTCAAAGGTCTACGTAATATATTTGGAACAAAGATTATGCTTGTTCCAATAAGAGAAATGACTGATGTTTTATCAGTTGAAAGCAAAGCAATTGATCTTTCAAGAGATACCTGGGTCAGAATGAAGATTGGGACTTATAAGGGTGATCTTGCTCAGGTATGATTTTTGTCCTTTGCCACTTTCATGAATTATTGTCTTTCAAATTTATAGTCTGACCTCCTAATTTCCATTTCATAGGTAGTTGATGTGGATAACGTGCGGCAGAGAGTCACTGTTAAATTGATCCCTAGGATTGACTTACAGGCCCTTGCAAATAAATTGGTATGAAATTGATTGTAGTTTTTTAGGTGCTTATCTCATGGATTGTGCATGTTAAAACCTTATAATAGAATTGCATTTTGACCTTTTGCAGGTGTAGAAGTTTAGCTGTCTATCTATGATTTGCACAGTTATGAAAATTAAAC